TGCCTCTTTCCTCCTAATGAATTAATCCTTCCCTTTTTCTACAAGAATGGGTGAAATAAATGTCATGCTCGTGTAAGGTGATCTACAGCTTATCTTCTGGCACAACCGCAATGTTGTCATCTGAAATCCAAGGTTACTCTGCACTGTAACCTAGTCATCAGCTGTCACCCAACTTGCGAGCATTTCTAACCAGTCCTACCTTACCAGTCAGGCGTTTTTGTTAAATGCTCCAGGGAATTCTATACATATTGTACAAGTGTGACTTTTGCTTCAATATGCACATTACAGACCCTTCACTTCAGAATGAGAACTACCAAGAATTCACGAGCTTCTTCCTCTAAGCCCAGAATGCACGGTGATGTGCTTGCGTTCTGCTCTGCAAAACGGCATGGCAACTTTACAACAGCTACAGACTTCTGCGTAGTAGCTTTTTACTTAGTGTCAATCCCAGCTAAGATGCTTGCTTTTCCCATGAGTCTTGTTTTCCCCATTCTTATTCCACTTCAAGAAAGACATTTGGTTATCTCTTTTCCTTTATCCGCACGGGACACTGCTACCTGTGTTTTTCTCACATCTATTTCATGGCTGATCTTTGTCTCCACTTCCTCTGTTATAAATCCCTACATCTGTTAGATTTGGACTCCTGTTTTCAAACACCTTGGTAACTTTTTGCTTTTTGAGATGCTTCTACTTTCTTGAAGAAGAAAGACCTGGATGGACAAGTCAAGTATCTCCAAAGAAAGGAAGCGTGCAGAATTCATGAGAAAAGCCACAAAGCAAATTGCCAGCTGATTCACAGCATACCTGATCGTTTTGTTTTCCAAGATATTAAAAACACCACTGCTGTGCTGGCCAAGAGGAAATGTGGCAATTCCCTTCGGGCTTGGAGTACTTACGACACTCAAGGTACTAATGCTTATCTGGTATCTTTTCAATATTGAGTACCTTGTGTTCTTTTGCCCAAGGTGAAGACAGGCAGTTTTGGAACCAACAGACTACACCTGGGTAGCCAGATAGCATACCATATAGGTATCCTTCTTCACTTCTATGAAATTCTGAAGTGGTTCACCTGGGAAATACAACAGCAGCATAGTTGTTAGACAGCCAGTCACGTGAAAGGCTTTGTTCAATTGACTGCTGCTTGTAAGCAATAATTACATCATGACAGAAAGTGACAGACTGACATCATTGTTTAGTGCATAACTCCGGTCTGTATGTGAATAGCTGGATTAGTAGGAATGGGAAAGAACCACATAAGTAAGTCTACACAGGAAATAAAGACAGATAGAATCATTTTTGTCTGTTCTTCTAAAAGCTGTCTATTAATTATGAAGCCACAGCACTGCTTCAAATGCTGGAATTGACACTGTTCCTGTAAATTGACACTGTTCCTTTCATTTCATTAGACCAACTACACAGAGTTGTATAGAGAAGACTATTCTTGTGAAGAAGAGTTGTATAGCATAGCCTAAGTACCCTCAATCGAAGCAGGTAAAATCATACCTAGTAAAGAACATGTCTTTCTTTCATGAGCTAAGTGTAAGAGCATTCCCAAAATTCCGTCCTGACTTGGGGAACAACAAACCAAAACTGTGCAAAAGAAATCATGAGCCACTGGGATGAGTGCTCTGGCAAGCAGACCCAGACTCTTCAGATTCTTTGCAGCAAATCTACCCAGGCTATCATTTGCACTTCCTATCTACTTCAGTGCAACCAACTTTTGATTTATCCTCGGAGTATTTCTCAAGTTTTTCAGTCCTTCCCCAGACCTCTCCCCTTCACACGGGCCATGAAGCCCACCTTCAGCCAGAGAGGAGGCGTGGCCACCCTGAGAAAGAAAATGAATGGGGACAGTCCCTGCCACCTCATCCTAGTACGACGTACTGGGACCAGGTTGCCATAGGCGTCTGTCCCTGGAGTGGAGCAGGGTGGAGCATTAATCAGAAAGGAATTTGTCTCCATTGCCGAGAGCAAGCCACATTCCTCATGGATATCACAAGTCTTCTTTTCATTCCCTGTGGAGCTCTTGAAGCCCTCTGCTCAGGGAACCTCACTGCTGGAGACCCCTGTATGTTCTACAGGGACTCCTGGTACCTCAAGTGACCTGAGGCGTGGATTTCACAGCTCAACTGGAAGCTTGAGCCATGCATAAGCCTTAGGTATTGCAACCTGTTCCTTCCTTAGATCTCTCCTTACCTACGTATGGACAAGATTGTCAGGTGTTGTTTTTGAACCTTCCAGTACCCACTAATCACCGAATTGAAAAAGCCAATCTGCAAGCAAGGACTGGATTTCCAACAAAAAACGGAGAGAAGCCCTGGCAAAGCTGTTGTGAACAATAGCCCCCTCTTGTGTGTTAAAGGGGCAGCAGGGCTGTGTCTGCATAGGCCTGAGCTTTGGAGCTTTACGCAAACTTGGTAAACTTGTGAGGAAAGCAACCAGTGCAAGTGGCTTCCCCAAGGGGTGACTGCACAGAAGCGAACGCCTGACAGTGGCTGCCCAAGCTGACGGCTTAGCTCTGGTCTGGATATATCATAAGCTTTGTTGTGCAGGGTAGAAGTGAATTTCCGTCATGAAAAACAGCCCAGTGCTGGATGATATCATGTTTATTTCATAAAGAAGCAAGGAGGGAGGAAAACATGACTGTTTTCTAAGACTCTTGCACATCCTCAGCACATTGACCACGTAGGTCCTAGCACTGCACTAGTAAGGGAAGACCTCAACCAGGAGCAGATTATTCTTGATTAATTTAAACTGGGGGAGCGGGAATCACACCAAAGACGTCCTTTTCACCAACATAGTTTATTTTGCCTGTCATGGCTCTACACGAAGACAGTAAAAAGGTAACAAATAAGGCAATATTCCCTCCTTCCCCTTCCCTCTCCTCCCCTCCACTTCCTTCCCTGGCTCTCTCCTCCCCTATACTCCCCTACACTCACCCCCCTAAGCTCCCCTACACTCTCCTCTCCTACACTCCCCTATACTCTCCTCCCCTACGCTCCCCTACACTCTCCTCACCTACAATCCCCTCCCCTACACTACCCTACACTACCACACACTACTCTACACTCCCCTACACTATGCTCCCCTACACTCCACTACACACACCTCCCCTACCTTCCCCTTCACTCAGTTCCCCTACACTCTGCTCCCCTACCCTCCCCTTCACTCAGTTCCCCTACACTCCCATACACTACCCTACACTCCACTACACTCTGCTCCCGTGCCCTCCCCTGCCCTCCCCTGCCCTTCCCTCCCCTCCCCTTCTCGTTTTTACCCTTCCCTCCCCTCCCTCCCGTTCTCTTCCCCCTGTACTCGGCTCTGGTGAGGCCGCACCTCGAGTACTGTGTTCAGTTCTGGGCCCCTCGCTACAAGAAGGACATCGAGGTGCTTGAGCGGGTCCAGAGAAGGGCGACGAAGCTGGTGAGGGGCCTGGAGAGCAAGTCCTATGAGGAGCGGCTGAAGGAGCTGGGCTTGTTCAGCCTAGAGAAAAGGAGGCTCAGGGGTGACCTTATCACTCTGTATAAGTATATTAAAGGAGGCTCTAGCGAGATGGGGGTTGGCCTGTTCTCCCATGTGCCTGGTGACAGGACGAGGGGGAATGGGCTAAAGTTGCGCCAGGGGAGTTTTAGGTTAGATGTTAGGAAGAATTTCTTTACTGAAAGGGTTGTTAGACATTGGAACAGGCTGCCCAGGGAGGTGGTTGAGTCACCATCCCTGGAAGTCTTCAAAAGACGTTTAGATGTAGAACTTAGTGATATGGTTTAGTGGGGACTGTTAGTGTTAGGTCAGAGGTTGGACTCGATGATCTTGAGGTATCTTCCAACCTAGAGATTCTGTGATTCTGTGTGATTCTGTGATTCTTCGTTCCCTCCCCTTCCCTCCCGTCTTCTCCTTTCTTCTTCTCCTCTCTTCTCCTTTCTTTCACAAATTGCAATGGAGAACAGGGAGAAGCATCACTTCCAGTCACTTCCGTCGTTCTCGTAGCTTGTGTCACTGCCTGATTCGTGGCAATCCATCAGCAGGATCCAGAAGCGTTCCAGCTGCTGTGCTACTAGGTGAGCAGCCGTCTCCAAGTGGCAATCACGGATTTCTTGCTGTGGCTCGGACACGGCACTTTCAAGTCCACCCTGGCTTGGCCATGTCCTCTTGCTCTGTCCCCACCTACATTACAGTTCTGCTTAGAAGCCGAAGCACGCTGCTGAAGTACTTCCACTCCTTCCATTTGCAAGGATTGAGTTTGTCTAGCCAAGTGGTTTCTGTCCATAGAACACAAGAAAGAGGTTTTGGTTAGAAACAACTCAAGGAGGACATCTTTTCCACATGGGCAAGGAATAGTCACGCTTTTCTAATGGAAACTCCAGTGGAAGAGAGAATGACAGATCATGCCGAGAGCTTTGAAATATCCCTTGGGGATGCCTAGTGCAGAGGACCAGAGGAAAGCTGTCCAAAGGACACCAGAGAATCACTCGGAATTACTTCCTCACAGACACCTGTCCTTACTATGTCTGATATGGCTTCATGTCTGATATGGCTTCAGCTGGTTTCAGGGTTCTTGTTCACCTAAAACCTAAATTCGGAGTTGTAAATGAAGATGGAAAGATTGACAAATGTATAAATCACTGATGGGGAAAAAAAAAAAAAAGAAAAAAAAAAAAAGTGCTTGGAGAACTTTGGCCATTAGCCCTGGAAAGCATCAAAGTACTGTCCTCTGAAGCAAATGCCTTCTTCTCTTGATACCTAAGGAGGAAAATCAATCCAATGTTGTAACATTAGAAAAGCAAACACTAAACACAAGCAAAGAAGAAGAACAAGTAAGCAATTGCAATGCCTATGGGGCTATTGCAGGGTTAGGCAAAGAACTATTGTGCCATGAAATCTTGGCATAGAAGAAACATTATGTGCATTTTTTACTGTTTCATTTGTTGAGCTCTGTTTGGAAGGGAGTGAATCTATCAGGATTAGATATCTAATTTAGAAGTGGAATTAAAATTGTTTTCTTTTTTTTTTTTTCTCTTGAGTTCATTCCTTTTTATAGGATTTCATAATAGAATAGGTATATATTAAAAAAAAAAAAGGATTTCAAGCAGGTAATCATATTCACAATTATTTTTTCAATCCAGAAACAATAGCAAGGATGAGCTGAAAAGTATTTCTATGCCATTAGAGTGTCAAGGTGTGTCCCATACATTAGTAACAGTCAGAGGATTCATTTTGGAGAACAAAAGCTATCTTGAAAGAAGTAAAGACAGAAGTAAATATGTATGCATGTATATCTCCCTCTCTCTACAGAAACCTAAGAAACTCGTCTGCAGGTTAGCTTCTTGCTCTCTCTTCTCAAAGTTCTAGTGAATACAGCATCAGTGTGTGTTCCAAACATTACCCTCAGTCCAGCACGGATACACACGAGAGGTCAGTCTGCAGGTTGCGCAGGCCAAGAAACTGCTCTGGCTTGATGGGAAGAGCCAAGGCAGAAGTTGCTGTCAGAGAAAAGATGCTGTCAAAGCGTGTCACGTCCATGCTAGAGCACCATCTAGCATACCATCTCTCCCACCATCTAGCTCTACTGCATCTAGATGCAGCTATACTAGAGCGTCGCTACTTAGCCAGTCTGGGGGATCTTAGGAGCCTTCTGAAGACCCAGAGGAGGGGCTGTTGTCCTTTCTGTTTTAACAGCCAGGGAAAACTCTTACCGTTTGACACAGAGGGGCTGAAAAACACAAAGTGGACTTGCAATCTTCAGAGCTTCGAAGCAAGTGGAGATTGTGGAGGTTGTGGAGTAACCAAGGAAACTGTTGATCTAGAAGCAGCCTACAGATTGTGTTTAGCCAGGGCCTTGTATTGCCCTTCTGGCTGATCTGCCAGCAATTCAAGAAAGTCTCCCTGGCAAGCCAGCCCTGGAGTCACCCCAAACTTGGTGAAACCCATGCGATTGGAAAGGAGACAGTTGCACTCCATAAACTGCAGGTTTCTGTGCTTTTTGCTTGCTTGCTTGCTTGCTTGTTTTCCAGGCTGAATTGGATTAGCTGGACAAGTTGGCAGCTGCCTACAGACAAATACCTTATCAGGAGTCTAAACTACGGGATTGCTCTAACTGAGAACAAGGAATTGGACTTGACGTCCTGTGGGTAGTTAGGGTCTGGCGGCCGGAAGATGTGGCGCTGTATGGAAAGGTTGAGCCCCTCCCTTGATGGACAGTAGCGTGTGGCCTGTGCTGTAAGCAAGCGGAAGTGACGCTATGGGCCTCGGCTATATAACCCCATGGGACCCGACAGTAAACGCCATTTGCCATCCACCACATTGGTGTCTGGGAGCCGATGGACCGAGCGGCCTGGGGTTGGCCGCCGTGCCGTTCCTGAACCAGGTCGCCACTGCCCCCTGAAGGCAACAAGTGGTGCCGAAACCCGGGAAAACTCCTGATTCGGGTGAACGGCGGCCGGAGCGGCGGGACCAGCCCGGCGGGGAGGAAGCTCCCGGACCAACAAGGAAGATGGAAACCCTTGTGAAGGTCGTATCCAAGTTGTGGAAGCTGTGGGGTGGCTCGGCTGAGGAAGCCAGGGTGCCGGTGGGGAACCAGAGCCTGAGGAAATCTGGGAGAGACCACGGCCATGTGCGCCCCAGTACGGTGCTGAACTAGAAAACGAAGAGTCGGGTGAAGAAGCCTCCGGCGGGAACGGGGATGAAGCGTTAGGTTTTACTAACACGTGGAAATGCGAAAAAGAGAACGGTTGCGGGGACGACCGGGGAGGAGGTAGAAGCGTGAGAGAGGGGCAGAGAGCCGATCGGAACGGCCATCCGAAAACACGCTCCTGTGGCGCAAACGCCTCGCTGAGCAGGCGGCGGGGCGAGCCACGAGGCAGGGAGCGGCCCCCCCGCAGGGGTGGGGGGCGGGGCCGGACCTCGATGGGAGGGGACCGGAACTCGGAGGTGAGCAGTCAGTCAAGCTCTGACTCCGGGTCAGATACCGATTCACATTCGGAGGAGGAAATGGGGACAGATAGCAAAAATATCCCCATCCGAAATAAAGCTGCACCGCGAGGCGGAGAAATTCCTCTCATGGATTGGAGGAAAATTAAGATTGCGTGCGCCATCTGGGTGCTATCGGCCGTGCTAGCGTTCCCGGTCTGGGTGACAGACGGGGGGCAGAGGGTTCACTCACCAACAAACCCTAAGGATGTACAAGCGATTGTTAAAGCCATTGTGCATAAAGGGCTTCATTCTGCAATGGTCTCCACCCTCAGAGATGGTGTTTTCAGGGGAGACGACATGCTCCCGTTTGATATCAAACAAACTTGTAGACTGATCTTTGACGGGGGTGGGATGATCATTTTTAAACGAGAATGGGGGGACAACTGTATGAGACAGCTGGCCCAAGTAACTGGGGCGGATCACACACTATATGGCTCTAGCCTGCAGCGGCGAATGGGTACGGACCCAACAGTGATCACCCCCCAGGCGCAAGTCCAGGGCCTGAGCGCCCACGAAGGTATGGCAACTCGTGCGGCCAGAGAAGCTCCAAACAGCTGACGCCCCAATTTCAGAACAAAACTAATGAAAACTGAGTTTCTGTTCACAGGAACGGATCATCGGGCACCCCCGTAATCTGTATACCCCGGCGACATGAGAAGACAATAAGTCAGCAAGCGTCCTGTCTAAGCCTGAGAGTTCCACACTGGCAGAATCCAGACACCAGCGAAGCGGCCTCCGTGGGTGGGGGGCTGCAATGCGTTTGTGTGATCTTATCTTTGGACCTTGTATACGAAATATGCTTGTGTTGTTTGTTAAAAGTTGGTTAGAGAAAGTTAACATTATGTTGGTAGAACACCAACAACTACTTTAAGAGTGTATTTACTCAGGGTTACCGGTTACCTCTTAGTTTTCTCCTGGTTATTGTGCCTTATGTTTTTTAGTTAAGTTATGATGTCTACGTCTTAAGATTGTTATATTTTAGCTAATTTGGTTGTGCATAGGGAGGGGGGGAAATGTGGGTAGTTAGGGTCTGGCGGCCGGAAGATGTCGCGATGTATGGAAAGGTGGAGCCCCTCCCTTGATGGACAGTAGCGTGTGGCCTGTGCTGTAAGCAAGCGGAAGTGACGCTATGGGCCTCGGCTATATAACCCCATGGGACTCGACAATAAACGCCATTTGCCATCCACCACATTGGTGTCTGTGAGCCGATGGACCGAGCGGCCTGGGGTTGGCCGCCGTGCCGTTCCTGAACCAGGTCGCCACTGCCCCCTGAAGGCAACAACGTCCTTAGGAAGTCTTTCCAGCTACGCTTTCTACCACTACAGAAATGCACCTGATTCTTTCACAAAGCTTACGGGTGCTGACTGCAAATAGTCCTCATCATTCTCCATTGCCTTCCTCATCTCCATTCTCTTTTGGCCCGTGAAGCTTTTCCGAGCAGAGATGAAGATCAGCTCTAATACGCAGTCTGGCATTCTGCAAAGGAAAAGAGGAATCCTCCTGAAAACTCTTTGCAACCTCACCCGCCATCCCCAAAGCAAAGAAGAGCAAAAGAACAGCGCTTGATCACAGCAAGCATCAACTCGAGCATAGGTCTCCTGCAAGTGTAGCGGGGTTCAACAGCTGCCAAACAAGCTTAAGGAGCACACCCAGAATCAAGTCCATCCAACAAGTGCTTGAAAGAGTTAGGTTTTCTTAGGCGTGAGGAATGAAAAAGAAAGCAAGAACTGACCAGTTACCAGCACACAGTTTCCCTCGAGCTTGCTTGGCTTCATTCCGCACCTGAGGCTGGGCTCCCAAGCAGGATTGAGCAGCATTGTGCAGAAACGCCAAAGCCTCCTCCCCAGCCGTGCTGGATCTTCAGCCCCAAGGGCTTTGGCTCTGTTGCCTCCTCAGCAACATGGGCAATTGCCCAGGCAAGCCGGTGTCCAGCAGCTCGACGCAGGAAGCGCAGCCCCCCCTTGCCACCGCTTGCCGCTCACACCAGGAGCTCCCGCAGCGGTGGCAGCCGTTGCGCGGCGCTTGGTGCGGTGCGGTGCGGGCAGAGGGCTGCGGGCTCCTTCTCCTCGGGGGCGGCTCCGCCATGGGGCGTCCGCCGCGGGGCTGCTGAGGCGGCGGGGGGCTCCATGGGGGAGCGGAGGGCGACGTGCGCTGGGGCTGGGACGGGCCTGGGGCTGGGGCACCGCGCCGCCGCCGCCATGCCAAGCGGCACTCCTGGCATCTGTGCTGCAGAGCCAGCCAGTGTGACGCCTTGGCGTTTGTGACTTCACAGAATCACAGAATGTCTACGTTGGAAGAGACCTCAAGACCATCGAGTGACAAACAAAGGCAACTCTGCATTTCCTTCTTCAACACCCGCTTTCTTCACAAAAACAAAACAAAACAAAACAAAAAACACAGAACTTCATCCCTCACACGGGACTCCCGAACTGAGCCTGCAGGGGCTGCCAAAGGCAGCAGCTCCTCAAGCACTGCTCGCACACGGCTCCCTACCACGGGCTCCATCCATCCCCCAGGAGCAAACTTGGTCAAACTAAGCCCCTTTGGAGATATTGGATGGCAGGCCTTACCAAATGCCGGACAAAGGAAAAGATCTAACACAAGAAGGGCTGCCCCGTGCCAGGCACAGTGTAGTTCCAGGCACTTCCAACAGCCCCACTGCAGGCAAGAGTGAGCCTGTGCGGGATGATGACAGCGCCTCTGGAGAAATGTCCGGCAGAGGGCTGCCACGATGACAGAGCGGGCCTGGACTAGAGCAGCCCAGAGGTGTCTCCTGACCCCCACCTTGCTGTGAGCTGGTGTCTTGACGGGAGGCTGCCGGGAACAAGGAGGCTCCACAGCAAGCACTCAGGCTTTGTGACGTGGGGCGGCGTCAGGCCACAAGACCATTGTGACACGGCAAGCGTCCCCATGGTGACGGTGTGACTTATATGGCCCGAGCCCCCGTGGTGCTCACTCCCAGGAGTGCAGCGCCGTCAGGAGGCAGCAGCTGCCCTGGGTGCCTGTTTCTTTGTCTCTGTGAGAGGACAAAGGGATGCCGAAGGAGCAAGAGGCGAAGGCCTGCTCCCAGCCCAACAAAGGGCTGCCGAGCATGAAGAAGCACCACCAGGTGCGGGACAGGGAGGGAGGGAGAGGGCAGACACAGGAGAGAGAGTGCCAGGTGGCGGAGCATGGTACCGGGGCGCGAGGCCTGGCCCTGAGTGTCTGCGGTCCAGGCCCAGGTTCTCGTGCCCCAGGGGTTTCTCTGGGGCAGAGCTGAGGCCTGGGATGGCTGTGACTCGCGTGGGTCGGGCAGCACTCTGTCCGAAGGATGTGGCACTGAGGTGGGGCTGGGTGTCCAGGCACCACAAGGGATGCTGGTGGCAGCGCAGCCACCACCATCCCACACCTCCTTCTCCCCACAGGTGCAACCCAAACCGCCACAGGCAGGACCGCTGTGCAGCCAGACTCCATCCTTGTCCATCCACGGGGTGAGGCTGCCACAGCTCCACTGTCCACAGAAGTCACAGGCCTCTAGGAAGAAGAGCACACAGGTAGGGAGCCCAAGTGAGATGGGGCCAGATGCCTTCCCAAGCCCTGGGAGCTGCTGACAAGGAGGCGGCACGTGCTGGAGGGGGCAGGTGGGCAGGTGCTGGAGGTGGGCAGGTGGGAAAGGACTACGGTAACATCACCTTTCTCCTTGGCTTCCCTTGCAGACAGACAGCCTGAAGCTGAGGCAGGCACTGCCCGGCAGCAGTGCCACCGGTGAACGGAGAGATCCTCTACCAGCCTTGCCGCCTCTGCCAAGGCAGGCAGCGACACTGAGAAGTACACATCGGCATTCAGTGGGAGCTTCAACTATCCCCCGGCTGCCCAGTCTGTCAGTAGCAGGCTCCACCTCTTCTGTGCCATGCAGAGACTGCATCACAAGCACCAAGGCTGTCAGACTCCCCGAGGTCGTCCCACGTCCTCAAGGACACGTGAGAAAAGAGCAAATGGCAGCAACTGCCGAGAGCCGGGGGACAGCCCTGCAAGCCCCCGCATCCATTCTGGCGCCTCTGCAGGCCAGACCCCAGCAAGACAACAGGCCAACCCCAAGCCATGCTGCAGCCAGGAGCCAAAGACCCAGGGTGCAGCTGAGGGTACAAAGGCACTACGCCCCTCCCAGCAGTGTGGCAACACCCGCAAGGACAGCCCAGGTGCCGGCCACCAAGACTGAAAAGATGCCAGCAACACGGAGACGAAAAGATGGCCATGCTCGAGAGGACACAAGAGCTGCTGCTGGGATCTCCAAGCCAGGAGGGAGGCAGCAGAAGGAAGCCACCTGGAACCTTCACTGGGACCCAGACGCAGCCCACCAGCAGGGGCCTGGCTCACCCCACAGCACTGGCAGAGATTCTGCCAGAGAGGCAGTCAGCCCCGCACAGAGCGCATCTCTTGCCATGTCAGGGCCAACCAATGCTGAGCCAGCAGATTCTGCGCAGGTTGCAGGTCCTGCCAGTGAGGGGGACAAGAATCCTATGGGTGCATCAGCACCCAGAGATGCTAAATCGCCTTCTCCCCTGGCTGCTGCTATGCCCGGCCCTTCCACAAGCAGCCAGAAAAGACCGCCGACATTGAAAGACCGGGTCAAGATCAACTGGGATATCTATGGGTGCTCCTCCTTTCGGCCAGCAATGCAGATCATTCCGAGCGGGGAGAGGGAAGGCTGCCAGTTGTCCCGGTGGAACGAGTCCTGGCCGAGCAGCGTGAAGGTTCCGAGGTTGCGAAGGATCTGGGCAGCAGACGACGGTGACACAGCTGACAGCACTGCAGCCAGTGCATCGGGCAGGCAGGAGGTGGCAGTGAGGACTGCGGGCCAGCGCCTTCCCTACTTTTGCTCCACAACGAGTAAGACCATTCTGCAGGACATTCAGGAAGAGTGGGAAGAGAGCCCCAGGATAGAAGCTGTGGCAGAAGCAGACGACGTCCTGCCCAGCACGTCTCCTGCCCCATCTGGTGAGGCAGATGCCAGGCCTTCAGCTGCTCCTATGGCCGCAGTTCCTGGGCCCGAGGAGCTCCCCCCGGCCTGCATGCCCAAAGAGGGAAAAGCTTCAGCCTCTCCCCTGGCTGCTGCTGTGCCCGGCCCTTCCACAAGCAGCCAGAAAAGACCGCCGACATTGAAAGACCGGGTCAAGATCAACTGGGATATCTATGGGTGCTCCTCCTTTCGGCCAGCAATGCAGATCATTCCGAGCGGGGAGAGGGAAGGCTGCCAGTTGTCCCGGTGGAACGAGTCCTGGCCGAGCAGCGTGAAGGTTCCGAGGTTGCGAAGGATCTGGGCAGCAGACGACGGTGACACAGCTGACAGCACTGCAGCCAGTGCATCGGGCAGGCAGGAGGTGGCAGTGAGGACTGCGGGCCAGCGCCTTCCCTACTTTTGCTCCACAACGAGTAAGACCATTCTGCAGGACATTCAGGAAGAGTGGGAAGAGAGCCCCAGGATAGAAGCTGTGGCAGAAGCAGACGACGTCCTGCCCAGCACGTCTCCTGCCCCATCTGGTGAGGCAGATGCCAGGCCTTCAGCTGCTCCTATGGCCGCAGTTCCTGGGCCCGAGGAGCTCCCCCCTGCCTGCATGCCCAAAGAGGGAAAAGCTTCAGCCTCTCCCCTGGCTGCGCACCCTGTGTTGGAGGCCAGGACAGCACCTCTCACCCCATCAGCATGTGAGGAAGAAGAAGCAGCACCTTCTCCCCTGGCTGGGGGCCTTCTGCAAGAGGTAAGCAAGGTATACCTTCCTCGTCCCACAGTCATGGAAGCCACAGACCCCTGTCGGTGGGCCTCGAGGCCCCTCATCCCTTATCCATCTGGCATCGGGGGCATCGGGGCCCGGAGCATGGCCAAACAGTGGCCCACAGGGCTGTGGTTTTCTCTCCCCATGCAGGTTTCCTCCGAGCATAGAAGCAGTGCACAGTGTTCCTCACACTTCCAATTGGTGCCAGAGGAAGGGCCAGGTATGTCCTAAAGTATGGAGCCATCCCAGCCCACGGCACGGAGGCTGGCAGCACTCCACGCACAGGGTCCCTCCATGTCCAACTGTCCCCTCCCCAAGGGAAAGCCTTGGTGGCGGGGGCAGGCAGGACCATGCCCAGTTCCATCCCAGCCCCTCACGTACAGCTCTCTGACCCCCACAGGCACCGCTGCCCTCCCGCACGCTGTGGCTCGCTCGCAATTGCCCCCCCTCTTCAGGAGAGCACTTCGGGCTCTCCGCAGGAGTTACTGCTTCAGCTGCATCACAGAAGACCTAGAGCAACGTGAGGCTGACAGTACCAGGGAGCTCCCCACAGATGGCAGCTTCGGTCCCGAGGACGGGGCTTCTGAATAAAATTGTTCAGGACTATTTCATAGATGAGGGCTGTCTCTTCTGTTCTGTTCTGCGTGCATGGGTGTCTGTGGGCTGCGTGTGCAGCTGCTGCGGTCAGACCCTGGGGCAGGGTGTCCCCATCTCCATGCTGCTAGTGCCTAGAGGGTGCACAGGTTTGTGCAGCAGTACTACCATGCAGTACTCTTGCGTGGGCTCCTCTCTATGGGCTGCAGCTTCAGCCCAGGGCCTGCTCCTGTGGGGGCTCTCCATGGGCCGCAGCTTCCTCCAGGCCACATCCACATGTTTTATAATGATGATGATGTTTTTGTTATTATTATTATTATTATTATTATTATTATTATTATTATTATTATTATTATTATTATTAATAATAATAATAATAATAATATTTATTAATTAATAATATCATTAATAAGTAATCATCATTTAATAATTATTTAATAATTACAATATTAATAACAATAATAATGGATTCCAGGGCAGCGATTCCAAAACTTTTGTCATGAAGACTGGTTTCCCATGTACATGAGAGACGCATAAAGAAATCGCAACTTCTTTTCACCAAAGTCTGAGTTGTTGTGATATCATTGTGGTGAAAACACGCGCTTTTCACCAAAGTAACATAATTTAGGTAAACTTGGTCAAACTAAGCCCCTTTGGAGATATTGGATGGCAGGCCTTACCAAATGCCGGACAAAGGAGAAGAGCTAACACATTTAGGAAACCAGTATTTGCAACATCTTACAGTTTGGTGCAAGCAACTAGAACAAATCAAGAAGAATGTTTTAGGCACTAGACCTTTTATTTGCCTCCTACAAGGGGAAGGATGCACTTGAATCAATCTTAGTTGCTCTATGTGTGTAAATGAGGCAGGAGGAATTGAGACTGAGCACGAAAACATTTGGGGAAAGACTAAGGTAATAAGGTGATTAGTCTAAGGTGATTACGTAAGGTAATTCAAGATGACACCTCCTGGGGTTTTCGAGAATTATGCAACAAAATAACCTTTTTGGGACAGACCCTTGAGGATGTCTGGGTCAACCACTGTGCTGTAAATTGTAGACCTCATCTTAGTATTCTTTTTAAAAGCAGTTAATAAGCAATGACTTTGATTAGAACACTAAAGAACGTCTCTTCATCAAAGGCTGCATCTACTCAGATGTGGGGATGGAGCAATAATCTATTTTTGCAACAAATGAGTATTTGTCGTAACAAATGAGGATTTGTTCTTGGTGCTCTGTGCGTGAGTGAATGAATGAAGCGGCCCTGTGGCTGCTGCACCTTCTGTGATGATGGTAGCAAGGAATGCCTATGTTTCTGCCGGAGCTCTTTCTAGATTGTGAATTTATCCAAACCGTGTTCTGTTCCCTTGGAGGTACAGTAACGAGCAAGACAGTCCAATTGGAGAAGATCAGTAGACCAAAGCAGCTAAGGCTAAAGGCCTTACGTATTCGTCATGTGGTTCCAGCGTATATGAGCATTGGACTAGATTCATTTGGCACCATTGGTAGAAAATGCCTGCAAAATTGCATTCAGATCTCTTTGTAGAACAGGTGATTAGTTTGGCTTTTGATCTCCCGTTTCGGGGTTGCAATACATTGATTTTGCACCTGAAACAGATCTCTCACAGAAACAGATCTGTTTCTTTAGAGAGAGCATTCATTCAAGTACCACTAATCCTCTCTGAAACTCCAGCTGCATGGAGTAAATGTGATGACTGGAGATTTATTGCAAAACTACATTCTTGCTCCATCCCAGCATCTACTAGAGATGCAGCCTTTGAGGAATAGATTTTCCTTAGTGTTCTAAGAAGAGCTGCAGCCAAATAAACTGCCTTCTCCTAGGACCACTACAAAAAGATTTCTGCTCTCCATAGCTTGTCTAGCACAGGGAGTCTTGGTCAGAGCACAGTCGCTTCTGACACTTGGTGCATGACGCTTAACAGAGACTCACAGTTTACACTGAGGTCAAGCTGAAAAGGAGAATCGTGTTGGAGCTGAGAAGGTGACAGAGACATACTTAGGGTAAATGAGTCATTTCTGTGCCCATTTCTTCCATGCCAAATAGGAACGGAGGGAATTCATTTAGCACTTGTCAGTAACTTAGATCACAATAGATTTGATTTCCTAATTGTTCTGATAGTACATTTTCCTGTCCACTGTGGGTCTGTTCCACTTCCTAGAGCAGTCCAGATGGATTCTGCCATTTGTCAGCAGAATTTTACAGAAACTTCTACTGAGCACAGTCTACATGGATAGAATAGAAAACATGTTTAACTTCCTCCATCCCACCAAATGAATAAGTATTTTTTTAAAGGACTAAGCATCTTTACTTTTCTTTTTTTTTCTTTCTTTTTTTTTTTTTTTTTCTTTTCTTTGGGGGGGGTGGGGGTCTGTTTTCTAGACTTCACAAAATAGATCATGGCAAAATTCTATTGAAAAATATTCAAACAGTTATCTTAAGCAACAAAAATGAATATGAAATGAATGAATGAATGAACTGAGTGAAGGGGAGGGTAGGGGAACTGAGTGAAGGGGAGGGTAGAGGAGCAGAGCGTAGGGGAGTGTAGGGGAGCAGAGTGTAGGGGAGGTGTGTGTAGGGGAGTGTAGGAGAGGAGAGTGTAGGGGAGCATAGGGGGGTGAGTGTAGGGGAGTATAGGGGAGGAGAGAGCCAGGGAAGGAAGTGGAGGGGAGGAGAGGGAAGGGGAAGGAGGGAATATTGACTTCTTTGTTACCTTTTTACTGTCTTCGTGTAGAGCCTTGACAGCAAAATAAACTATGTTGGTGAAAAGGACGTCTTTGTCTGATGTGATTCCCACTCCCCCAGTTTAAATTAATCAAGAATAATCTGCTCCTGGTTGAGGAGCAGATTCCCTTACTAGTGCAGTGCTAGGACCTACGTGGTCAATGTGCTGAGGATGTGCAAGAGTCTTAGAAAACAGTCATGTTTTCCTCCCTCCTTGCTTCTTTATGAAATAAACATGATATCATCCAGCACTGGGCTGTTTTTCATGACGGAAATTCACTTCTACCCTGCACAACAAAGCTTATGATATATCCAGACCAGAGCTAAGCCGTCAGCTTGGGCAGCCACTGTCAGGCGTTCGCTTCTGTGCAGTCACCCCTTGGGGAAGCCACTTGCACTGGTTGCTTTCCTCACAAGTTTACCAAGTTTGCGTAAAGCTCCAAAGCTCAGGCCTATGCAGACACAGCCCTGCTGCTCCTTTAACACACAAGAGGGGGCTATTGTTCACAACAGCTTTTCCAGGGCTTCTCTCCGTTTTTTGTTGGAAATCCAGTCCTTGCTTGCAGATTGGCTTTTTCAATTCGGTGATTAGTGGGTACTGGAAGGTTCAAAAACAACACCTGACAATCTTGTCCATACGTAGGTAAGGAGAGATCTAAGGAAGGAACAGGTTGCAATACCTAAGGCTTATGCATGGCTCAAGCTTCCAGTTGAGCTGTGAAATCCACGCCTCAGGTCACTTGAGGTACCAGGAGTCCCTGTAGAACATACAGGGGTCTCCAGCAGTGAGGTTCCCTGAGCAGAGGGCTTCAAGAGCTCCACAGGGAATGAAAAGAAGACTTGTGATATCCATGAGGAATGTGGCTTGCTCTCGGCAATGGAGACAAATTCCTTTCTGATTAATGCTCCACCCTGCTCCACTCCAGGGACAGACGCCTATGGCAACCTGGTCCCAGTACGTCGTACTAGGATGAGGTGGCAGGGACTGTCCCCATTCATTTTCTTTCTTCACGGTGGCCACGCCTCCTCTCTGGCTGAAGGTGGGCTTCATGGCCCGTGTGAAGGCGAGAGGTCTGGGGAAGGACTGAAAAACTTGAGAAATACTCCGAGGATAAATCAAAAGTTGGTTGCACTGAAGTAGATAGGAAGTGCAAATGATAGCCTGGGTAGATTTGCTGCAAAGAATCTGAAGAGTCTGGGTCTGCTTGCCAGAGCACTCATCCCAGTGGCTCATGATTTCTTCTGCACAGTTTTGGTTTGTTGTTCCCCAAGTCAGGACGGAATTTTGGGAATGCTCTTACACTTAGCTCATGAAAGAAAGACATGTTCTTTTGTTCTTTACTAGGTATGATTTTACCTGCTTCGATTGAGGGTACTTAGGCTATGCTATACAACTCTTCTTCACAAGAATAGTCTTCTCTATACAACTCTGTGTAGTTGGTCTAATGAAATGAAAGGAACAGTGTCAATTTACAGGAACAGTGTCAATTCCAGTCAAGTTTGGTTCACGGTACTAGATTTAAAGGATGCCTTTTTGTGCCTGCCTGTGTCACCTGAATGCCAGAAACTCTTTGCCTTTGGATGAGAAATTTCTCACAGAGCATGAAAAACGCAGCTCATCTGTCTTTTTTTAGTCACACACTCTTATTCATAAAGAGATTAATTTCTTCATGAATTCTATGTTCTTGAAATGCTTGAAATATGGAATTTCTGTCCAGTGAGATGTTTCAATTTTGCAGAAAATGTATCCCAGATAACAAGGAGAAAAGGAATACTGTGTAGTTTACTGTCTGTGTTGTTATTGTTATTATCATTATCGTTATTATTTTAACAGGCTTAACTGATTTTGTTCACTAAAATCAACCTTGAACTTATGCTTTTCAGGTATTGCCAGTCTCTCTCTTGTTTCAGAAATGTTAACTTGTCCTTCAGAGTTACAAGAGCTTTTGGCAAGTTAGAGTCTAATATTTCAGAGTCAGGGAACACTCCAGCTACAGGAAATCCACACTTCAAATACAGACACCTTGGAAGGAGTGTTCAAATGATGATGTACCAGCTTTGAAGTCTACAAGGCTATTCTACCAAACTTGTTAAGAATCAATTCCATGCTAGGCCACCTGTCATGAAATTTGTCTATGATTTCTACAAAGCTGTCTCCCTCTGGAAACTTGAGACAGTTCCGTGTTGGGTAGTCATCTATCTTCAAACACTGAGAACCACTTCATAGAAAAGAACGCGTGTCTGACAATCATACAACCATGGATGGGAGGCTC